GCATAAGCTCCATTACCTTGAGGGACAAAAGCAGCAAGTACCAGCATGTTTTCCTCCAAGCCACACCCCATCCTGACTTCAAACCATGTCACCATTCCCAAACCATGGGAAAAATGCACAGAAGTCTCATCCTGAGAGCATTGTGGGTGTTCCTACACAGCAAGGATTGCAGTGGTTCAAGAAGGCAGCTCACCCCCACCTTCTCCAGGGCAATTCGGGATATGCAACAAATGCTGGATTACTCAATCACCCCCGCCTCTGTGGGATAGATAAAGAGAAAGGATAATAATTGTGAGAAATGAAGATTGACTTTAGATTAACACTGTAGCAAAGCGCAGTTTGCCTTCACTGCATTTATTCCTAATTTTATTTGGATTGCAATGTCAAGGATTTTCATGTAAGTGGCAGGAGGGTTAAGATTTTGTTTATCATTCCCTTCCATCCACTTTCATAAATCAATTCCAAGGCCTTATCAGTTTTTTTCCAAATGCAGCTTCCTCACAGCTAGTTTCAGTTTAATCTATGTCCTTGTTCAGTCTAAGCTGCTTTGTGACCTGTGCTTTCAGTCTAACTGTAAATTCATTTGCCTGGGAATTCACTGATGTGATTGAAGTCAAGCATCTGCTGGTCATACTCGCCAATGTGTGCATCAGATGATGATTTGTGCCATGGTTGTAAATTCTGTGTACAGCATTGCCAAGTGTTTCTCAGGAACATGGAAATCGTAGAATCCCTACAGTGTGCCTTTTGGCTCATTGAGTCCACACCGACCTCCTGAAGAGCATCCCACCCAGACCAACAACCCACCCGCAGCTCTATCCCTGTAACCATACATTTTCCCGTGGCCAATCCACCTAATGTGCATGTTTTTGGACTGTGGGAGGAAACCAGAAGAAACGCACGCAGACACGGGGAGAATGTGCAAATTCCACATAGACAGTCGCCCGAGGCTGGAATTGAACCCAGGCCCCTCGCACTGAGAGGCAGCAGTGCTAACCACTGACCCTCCGTGCCACCCAAAAGAAGGTTCTCGATTCAGAATCTACTGTTTTACTCGGGCTCCACTTTGCAGCGAGTTGAGCTTTCCGATCCTGTGCTGTTGTTTCTAATATTCTTCTGAACAGTTCACCTCCACAGGTCACTGGGTATCCTGGTTGTCATGCCATTGCTGGAAGATGTAGGAGCAGAAGTGGGCCATTCAGTCCATTGGGTCTGCTCCGCCATTCTGTGCATCATAGCTGATCTGATATCCACCATCTTCGTTTCTCAGTTGGAGGTGTGCGTGTCCTGGAGATAGCATGCAAGCAACAGTTGTCACAGCGCCAGAGTCTACTCTCTTATTCAGGGGTAACCTGAGGGTCACCCTGCCTCAGGTGAGGGTAATGCTGAGTAGACAGAGCTTTCATGGGTAATTTTGGCATTACCGGAATTGAACCCACACTTTTGATGGCACTTTGCACCACAACCCCACCTTCCAGATGATTCGCAAATGTCCTGAAACAGTGACTGATTCAAAATTTAGTAAGAGATGTCACTAGCTTATTGCCTCATTCATTTATGATGAAACCATTCCTCAAAGATGCTATCCTTAACTCTATTCTTCATTTAACTGCAGTGAGTTCCAAATTTAGGAAAACATTTTCTCCTGACAAAGTCCAAATGGTGAATCATTGAGTGAGATTCCAGGACTTAAAATCCACAATAATTAAGGGAAATCCAAAGAAGCATTAAAGCAAGAGTGGGCACTACAAGGGATTTCTGGTTGCTGTGTGTGCCTTTGTATTTAGTTATCTCCCTGAGTAATGCCCCACCCTACTGTCTCCTCCCTGCTGTAGTCTTTAGTTCATCCTGTTATTCCTTTTTCTCTCACTGTAGTTTCTTGAATATTTGTCTGGAATGCTGCTAACAAGAAGATCCAACCTCTTTCCTGATGTTGTTATTGTAGCGCTGCCAGGGAATAAGGAGCAGTAGATTCCAGTGCAAATCCAAATATAGTAATGATCTAAATTCCAACATTCAAGTACTCCCACTTGTGGACATTTATTTTCTGTCCTTTGAAAAAGGCACTGATGTTATGAAATAAAAATTATCAGCAATTGTGTCATTAAATATCATGCAGTGGTGTTTATATTTTCACTTTTGGTTAATGAATACCACAAAGTGTACAATATAATTTCTTCATTTATTGTTCAACTGGACCCACAGCTGGTTGTTTGATGAATGTTTAAAGGATGTTCTGGACCATTTTCAATTGCTGGTAAATTCTTTTGGGTCCAGTTCCTGTGTCTTATTCATCTTTAGAATGGCAAGGCTGATATGTATTGACCCTCCTGGGCAAGTGGTAGTGAACCAACCCTTTCAAGCCACTGCATTTCATGTTTTTATGTGGGTGGAGGTGTGGAGAGTGCTTCTGAAGTGCAGTCAGTGCTATAATGTAGGCCAGTGAAGCAGTTAATTTACATACAGCGTGGTTCCACACAAAACAATGTGACCAAATAATTGATTTTGGGGATGTTTATTTCGGGATAAATATTCACCAAGATACTGAGGAGAACTCACCAAATGTTTTTTTGGATTAACGACACAGGATCTTTTCCATCCTGAAGTGTTTTTGAGCCATAAGGAGAGGCTGAATAGGCTGGGGCATTTTTCCCCTATAGCGTGAGAGGCTGACAGGTGAACTTAGAGGTTTATAAAATCATGAGGGGCGTGGATGGGTGAATAGCCAATGTCTTTTCCTGTGGTGGGTGAGTCCAAAACTGGAGGGCATTAATTTAAGGTGAGAGGAGAAAGATTTAAAAAGGACCCAAGGGGTAACTTTTTCACACAGAGGGTGATGCATGTATGGGAAAAGCTGCCAGGGGAGTGGAGGAGGCTGGTACAATTACAACGTTTTAAAGGTACCTGGATGGGTGCATGAATAGGAAGGGTTTAGAGGGATATGGGCCAAATGCTGTTAAATTGGGATGTCTGGTTGGTATGGACAAGTTGGACTGAAGGGTCTGTTTCCATGCTGTATGACTCTGTCCTCGGAGGGCATGTGGGATCTCTATTTAACGTTGCTGCAGGAACAACTGAGATGCTGAGAGCTTTACAAATGAATATTGCTGCTGATTTAGGAAAGTAAATTTCATTGGCATTTTCCTGGTAAATTCATATTAAACTAAGTCTGGTTGAGAAATAGAACCTCCTCTAGATGATCTAGTGGCACAAATTGAATCTAGTCTCAGAATCCTCAGGGAAAAAGTGGCCTCGTTGATGTAGTTTCCACAGTCTCCTCAAATACAGGATAGAGCTCACAGTTAAAATCTAACTTAGCAAAGTTTGTACTTACCATTTGACGTTCTGAGATTTTTATTGTAGAGGTTGTTTTTGATCTATAACAGTCTAAAAGTGTCTTAAAAGGTTAATCCCATGCACTAAACTATTTCTTGTTAACAGATGTGCAGACTAGATGGATTGGCCAAGCTAAATTGCCTGTAGCATTCAGGGATGTGTAGATTAGGTGGGCTATGTGGGATGTGTCTGGGTGGGATGCTCTGAGTGTCGGTGTGGACTTGGGCTGAAGGGCCTGTTTCCACACTGTACGGATTCAATGATTCATTTTCAGGATGGTAACTATACCAATAGAATACCACAGAGATCAGTGCTGCAGGCACAGGTCATTAAAATATATTTAATGACTTGAATGAGGGAAGTGAATGTACTATAGGGAAGCTTGCACATGACACAAAAGGGAAAGCAAGTGGTGAGGGTGACAGAGTCTGCCGAGGGATATAAACAGAGTAAGCAAATGGACAAAGACTTGGCATATTGACACAAATATTGTTGGAAAATTGAGGTTCTGCAGTTTGGCAGGAAGGATAAAGTGGCTGAATATTACTTAAATGGAGAAAGACTGCAGAAAGCTGGGGCACAGAGGTATTTAGGAGTCCTCGCTCACTGCTCACTAAAAGCTAGCAACTACGTTCACTCGGTAATAGGGAGGAGAAATGGAACTTCGGCCTTTATTTCAAAAGGAGCAGAGTATAAAAGATAGGGAGGTGTTTTTAAAACTAGACAAGGCACTAGCCAGACCAAAGCTGGAATACCGTGTGAATAGTTTTGGTCCCTTATCTAAGGAAAGATATGCTGGTGTCGGAGGCGGTTCACTATGCTGATATCAGATACAAAGGTGCTGTCCTAGACGAGAGGTTGATTAGGTTGAGCCTGTACATATTATAGTTTAGAAGAATGAGAAATGATTTCATTGAAGCTCCCAAAGTTCTTGTGGGGACTTGACAGAATGTGTGGAAAAGTTGTTTCCATTTCTGGGAAAGTTTAAGACCAGAGGGTATAACCTGAGAGTAAGGTGCTGCTCATTTAAGACAATGATGAGAAGGAATTACATCTGAGGGTAGTGTATCTATGGAATTCTTTATTGTAGAGAGCCGTCATGGTTGGGACATTATTCAAGGCTGAGAGAGAGATTTTTACTCATTCGTTTTTAATCAAGGAAAAGGCAGGAAAGTGTTGAGGATATCAGTTCAGACATTGAATGGCAGAGCAGACTCTGGTCTCCTTCTACTCCTATCACTTATGAAAGTGAAAACTAATTTCAACAGTGGTGAAACTACATTACTGTCATTTGTTTCAAAACTCAGGTAATTCACAAATGTCCTCTCGAGAGGGAAATCTACCATCCTTACCTGCTCTGGCCTATATGTGACTCCAGACCCACAGCAATGTGGTTGATTCTGAAATGCTAGCATGCCACTTGGTTAAAGGGCATTTGGAGATGGCCTACAAATGTTCGCTTTAGCAAAGATGCCTGTGTCCATAGGGACAAAAAAAGCTTTTTTTTACTAATGAGAATGCAAGTATGCTATTCATCCTCAGTTAATGTAACTTGCTGGTTTGATCTATTGTTGCAACAAGCTTTATTTTATCCCAATGGGTGCAAATTGTTCTTGCTTTCTCGCTCCTGTTTCCCCTGCTAAATAATCTTTTCTTCCTTAAAGATGTTGCTGTTATCTTTGGTATCGGACGGGAAGTGCCAGGTATAATCAATCTTTCTGTTAATACAATGTGCATCTTGTGTTCTGCTGTGTTTCATTTCCAAGTGTCAACCGATGTACCAGTGATTCAAAGTTATGCCTGCTGGTCTGTTCAGTCCTACTCTTGATGTTGTGTAAATGTTATTGCATTTTGTGGAGTTTCTTGGTAATTATGTTGAAATGTCACGTGTATCAGTTTCCTAAAGAATTTGAGGGAAGTGAATTCATCTGAAATGCCATGTGCTATTCCTATTTTGAATGAATGTCGCTGGTAACAGAAGTCCTCACTACTGAGACAGCTAACCTAAGTCCAAAAACACTTCGACTCGATTCCTTACCCTGGGGTAAGGAACCTGTTTGGACTTAATTTTCACTCCAAGGCATTGCTGGCAGGATAGTGAGCTGGTGAGAGGGCCCACTGTGAACCATAGAACCCCTACAGTGTGGAAACAGGCCCTTCGGCCCAACAAGTCCAACCAACACACCAAGCATTCCACCCAGACACATCCCCCCTGTATCCCACCTAAGCTACACATCCCTGAACACTATGGGCAATTGAACATGGCCAATCCACCTAACCTGCACATCTTTGGACTGTGGGAAGAAACCGGGGCACCTGGAGGAAACCCATGCAGACACGGGGAGAATGTGCAAACTCCACACAGACAGTTGCCCGAGGCTGGAATCGAACCCGGGTCCCTGGCACTGTGAGGCAGCAGTGCTAACCACCAAGCCACCGTAGATCTCCTGGGATTCCTCGCTGTTTTAGATCCTGCTACATCCTCTAATCCTCACCCCTCACATCACTTCATGTCCCCTACCCAACTTCTATACCCCCCTCACACCTGTTAACTTGTGTACCCCCACTTATTGTTCAAGTCCCAAAGTACCCCCACATCTGCTGCAGAGCCACTTACCACATATACACAATGGAAAAACTTCAGAACCCATGTGAAGATGAAAATAGCGAATCTCCTGACAAACTAATGCTGCTGTCACACTCATTCCCACCCACTAAACAGTGAAAACTACCGCAAAAATGAAACCCATTAAAAGCATTTTAAATCTCCAAGTGATTAATCTGTTATAAAAATAAACTTGTCTTCAGACCCCACATTAAAGGCAGCTAATCCTTGAATAGTCTGTTTAAACTTTCAGCCAAACTGTAAACTCGGAGCCCCTAACTGAGATAATTGTAAATATTGAAACGCGGCCAAACAGTCCTACTGACATAATGATAGGAAAATATTAACAAAGATTTCTATTGAAATGATACAAACAATGATTTTTTTTCTAACCAACACGAGATGGCTGTCAATCTAAAGTGTCTAGTGGAGAGAGATAGTAGGAACTGCAGATGCTAGAGAATCTGAGATAACAAGGTGTAGAGCTGGATGAACACAGCAGGCCAAGCAGCATTATAGGAGCAGGAAGGCTGACGTTTTGGGCCTTGACCCTTCATCATCTGAAGGCAGGAAAGTGGAGGTGAGATTATCAAATCAGCTGTGAGCTCATGGAATGGTGGAGCAGACTCAGTGGGCTGAATGGCCTACTTCTGCTCCTGTGTCTTGTCGAGTAGACTATACAGCTCTTCAAGCTTGTTATGCCATTCGCTAAAATTCAACCAGAGCATCCCAGCCATACACTCAGTCCTTAGGCTGATCTTGGTCTTCATCTCCAGTTTGCTGTCAGCTGTCTCGAGTCTCTGTAACAGACCAGAAAACCATTTTGTAGAAAAGGATTTCCTTCACGGTGTTCTGAAACACCAAAGAATATTCTGTTTGTATTGGCAGAAAACTCACTTTCTTCATTCTGTTCACACTACATTTTAGGGGAAGACAATGGACCTTACTATGACCCTTCCAATAGTAGCCGAGAAGGAGAAATTCCTGGCAATTCAGAGGTAAACTTTTTGTTGTTTCTTGACCTGTGCTGTATCTCTCTATATGACACGTTCTGTAGAATGGTGATGCTGGAAGAAAGGTCAACACTGAACCGAAAGCAAGAAATGCTGAAAATGAAGGGTATGGTGTAACAAACTGAATCTGATGAACACTCGGTTGGAAGTGTGTGCACATGCATGTTCGTTTTCGAAATGATAACCTTGACATTCCTTCTGTACCGAGCTGTGTATCTCTAGCATTTTCAACAACTTCAGTTCTCTCTTTTTTTATTTCAAATTATGTTCCTTTTATCCTCGTCCTACATTAAATGAGGTTTGTATTAAAATCTTTTAGACAATAACATTCGTGTGAAATATGATTTGCAAATTGACCTACACAAAAGCTTTGATAAGAATTAATGTGTATATTTTCTATCAGTATTAACGGTGGAACAAAAAAATCCTGCAAAAGAATAAGGTTTCCTTTGGAAGCTTTGACAGGTATTGAATAATATTTTTGTGCTTATTGTGTGGCTAACTTCCAAGCAACAGAAACACACTGTTCTTAATTTCCCTTCAGACTTATTCCTGGATAATTAGTCATGTTCCTCCAATTGACAACTTTCCCATGTCTTACTGGAGGTAGTGTGATGGAAATCAATCCCTACTGTCCCTAGGCCTTCACATCAGTGAAAGGTCTTGTAAAAGTAGCAAAAAAGGCTCAACTTGCCTGTCCGTTTTTTTTTAGTTTGACAAAAAGCACAGACCGGGTTTCTGTACTTAACAAGAATGACTGACTAGTTACAACATATGAGTAGATCCTAACTGTCGATAAATAATTATGAATCAGCAACATTTAACTCTACTGTTTATGACTCTAATCCCCCTTACAAGCTCCCCCACCCTCCTGCTGAGACAGATCCGAAGAGGACAAAAGGGTATTATGGGCAGAGGGGAAGTCTGGGAAAGCAGATCAATAATGCCTTTTAACAGGGTTTGCTGAGGTGGACCTTTTGGGTTGTCAGGAAGTCCTGCATCTTGATTTTTGTTCTCTGGATACTTTCACAGAATCCCTACAGTGTGGGAACAGGCCCTTTGGCCCAACAAGTCCATACCAACCCACAGATCACCCCATCCCCATATCTAAACATCCCTGAACACTGGGCAATTTATCATGGCCAATCCACCTAGCCTGCACATCTTTGGACTGTGGGAGGAAACCAGAGCACCTGGAGGAAACCCACACAGACACGGGGAGAATGTGCAAACTCCACACAGTCACCCAAGGGTGGGATTGAACCCGGGTCCCTGGCGCTGTGAGGCAGATGTGCTAACCACTGAGCCACCGTGCTGATTGCTTGATGAAGGTACAGGGTTGCTGGTTCACACGTATAATGTCTCTGGCTTAATGGCTGAGGGAAAAATGAGATGCTGTTCTTCAGGCTTACTGTAGTTTTTACAAGTAAGAAATGAGAGAACTTCTGTCCCTGCAGAGATCCAATGACTTTGCCAAACATTTACACCCCCAAGCTGTTCAGCGATCTGGAAACCAATCACATAGTTGTTGATAGATAGGAGACCTAATTCATCAAGAACTTGTCATGAGTACACAGACCAAACATCTACTTGTTGCCACCTGAAGCTCCATTCATACACAGCCATTGGCTCTAGCTTGTCTCCACCCCGGCTTCCGTGACTCCATAATGGAAAGCTGTGTAAACAGCACTTGCACTGAGTGAGAGATAGTAGGAACTGCCGATGCTGGAGAATCTGAGATAACAAGGTGTAGAGCTGAATGAACACAGCAGGCCAAGCAGCATCAGAGGAGCAGGAAGGCTGACGTTTCGGGTCTGGACCCTTCTTCAGAAATTACTTGCTCTCAAGTAGAGCAGCAATCCTTCAAATGCACTTCTTCTTCTTTTAACAAAAGCAGTTCCTGTCCCATTTCAGAAATACTGAAAATTAAGAAAACGTGATCTTTACAGGACCTTTCTCCTCAGACTATGCCACCTCGGTTTACACATGTCTAGGGAGAATGCTTGATCTGTAAAATGGACTGATAACATGAAACAATGAATCGGTGGAAACTCAACATTTCAACCTGAAATATTGACTTTCCTGCTCCTCGGATGCTGTCTGACCTGCTGTGCTTTTCCAGCTCCATGTTTATTCACTTTAGCTTCCAGCATCTGCAGTCCTTATTGTCTCCAAATCAGTGGAAACTGGCTAAGTAATTTGTGAAAAGTAATCATTAAAACAAAACTACTTTGGACAGGTTTGTCTCAGTGGAGTATTGTGTGTCATTTGGGTGCCAAACCTTGGGAAGGATATTATCATGTTGGAGAGAGCATAGAGGAGGTTTACAAGAATAGGTCCAGGGACAAGAAGCTGCAGCTTCGAGAATAGATCGGGGACAAGTTGGCACTATCCTCCATGGAAAGATGAAGAGTCCGAGGAAACGTGATAGAAGTTTTCAAAATCATGAGGAATCTGAAGAGAGTAGACAGGGAGAAACTATTCCCACTCGAGAGAGAGAGAGGGCAAAGTTTTAAAGTGCCTTTGCTAAAGAAGCAAATATGAGGTGAGAGAATTTGTTCGTGCAGAGAGTGGTTTGGGTTAAGATCACACTGCCTGGAAATATGGTGAAACTATCTGTAGAAACCCATCATTCCGCCCATTGAGTCCATGCCGACCCTCTGAAGAGCATCCCTCCCAGACTCCCCCCATCCCTGCATTTCTCATTGGTAATCCCCCAACTAACCTGCACATCTTTGGACTGAGGGAGGAAACTGGAGCAAACAGACACGGAAGAATGCGTAAACTCCACACACACTCACCCAAGGGCGGGGGGAGTCAAACCTGGGTCCATAGTGCTGGAAACGGCAGTGCCAACCAAAGTGCATGGGCAGCGCCGTGGCTCAATGTTTGGTTGAGACATTCCAGAAGGAAATGGATGATTGTTTCTATTTAAATAATGTGCAGGGCAATGGGGAAAAAGCGTGAGATTGGCGTCAAGTCAAAATGCTCAAAAAGCTAATGCAGGCTTGAAGGACTGTGGGTGGTGCCTCCTGTGTCATAAAATTGTGATTCCCACTTGAGACTAAACATCCAACTAGAACTCATTCCTCACCACACAGACCCAGAAGAGTTCTGTAACATGGAGGGTTTTTTTTTTTTTTTGAAAAAGTGCATGAATTGTTTTTTGTTCATATCTAGCTTTCAGTAAAACCACATGACCTCCCACCGCCAATATTTTGAAAACAAATAAATAAACGTGTTCAAAGGAAGTCTAAAGAAACACTTTTTTTTTTCTAACATCTCTTGTGGTTTTTCTCCTTAGCTGCTCAGTGGAATGTCCTAAAAATTAGTCTGCTGGGATGTCTAGGAAGTAGTCCTGGGGGATTATCAATGCTTCCTGCACAGTCAACAGTCAAATGATGACCACAAGAGGCATTTCTTACAATGCTGCCATGGACACACTACCAAGGGAATACTCTGTGGTTTCTTGGTCCTTTTTTTCTGAAATAAGCAGTATTTAGTATTTCCGAACTTCAGTGGCAATATCAAGGCAGTGAAACTGTCAAAGATTCTAAATTCCAATTCACCACTATGTGCACAGATAAAGCTCCAGTCAGGCTATTTAAGGAAGAAGATTGTTACGGTTGTTTTTGGTATAACCGAGAGCAAGTGACTTGTTAAAGAGAACAGTTAGTTTTCAGCTGCTTAGCAATGTCTAAAAGTTATTCAGCTTTGTTGAGAGAGGTGGGGGATTGAATTTGGTTTGATTGAGCCTCGCTCGTTACATTGGAAGAATGTTTGCATGTGAACCTGTCCCTCTGCCTTTTGAAAGCAGTCTTCTACATTCTCTCACCATATTTGGGAGCCCTGTTTAATTTTGACTCTGGTCACATATCTTGTCTATTCACCTCCAGGCTATAAAATTCTCCAGCTGTTCTGCTTCTAGGGTAGCTGCTTCATAACGGTCTTGCTTTGTCTTGTGCTTTAAACCCGTTCTGCTTCCTGCACGTTGCGATACCGAAAGGCGTATCTCTGGACTGTGGTGTTTACACTTATACTGTTCCTGAGACTGCTTGATTCTTGTCACTGAAATGAGGTGGTTAAACTCCTTGTGTCATTTAACACTGGTTCATTTACATAGGTATATTCTGGGCGATCACATTCAGTTCTCTAGTGGTGTTGACGATCTATCTCTCAGATTTAGATAGGAGTAGGCCATTCCGCCCTTTTGAGTTTGCAGCGCTGTTCAATATGATCACTGCTGGTCCTCCATCTCCGTGACATGTTCCTGCTTTCTCCCCAGACCCCACCCACCCCTCTGTTTTTCCTCTGTGTCTCTCGCTCTCTCCATATGCTTATACTGGGACTGGTGTCCTTTTGCTTACTGCTACCAGTGTTGTATGCTCAGTTACATCACCAAGATTAAGCTGAATCTCATTACAGCATATTTCCCCGACTCTTTTGAATGAAGAGGAAATTCTGAGCAGTCAGGGCCATGAGAGAGTCTCTAACCCTCATGGTTTAATCCCTGGACAGTGGGTTTGGCATTCCAGGGAAATGATGACTATTGCCTACAGTTCTGCCAGTGTATAGCCCCTCCCCAGGCATCTCTGCTGTACTTGGCTTTGACTGTTACACTGAGAATCTGCTAAATGAAGAGGGTTTCTGTTCAAAGATATGCAAGTGTCTGACCGTGAGAGTTACCAACTTGGGTTGAATGTAGTGCTGGAGATTTAGCCACATGATTTCTAGTTACCCAACAAACGCCGCCACCCCCATCGCCCACAATGGCCAGTCTCTGTGCAATGTCTTCATGGATCATTGAAAAGTCATCAAGAGCTGATTAACTGAGTCAAGCAGCTTTTTTTGCCTAATCACCACCTTTTATGGAACAATTTAAAAAGAGATGTGTGTTTTTTTTTTCTTGACTGTTTGTCATTTGCTTCCTGGGTTGAGTCCCGTCTAACCAGCTGCAAACTAAGACTAAGCCACTCTGGTGATGGTGTGTGCAGACATCAGTGATAGCAAAATACAACAAAAGCTCACATAATTAAGCTGATTGCATGACTCAAAAGCAAATTTGTTAATGTATGTATATTACCTTCTGACAGTCATGGTATGGCACATTAATTATCTCCTCCTTAAAAAGCCCTGATTATCTGCTTTCTGTGAAAGGAGAAAGATTTAGTGTTAGATAAGGGACAGCTAGTGAGATCTTAAACTCCCGTGGCAGGTTGTCCAGAGAGCTCCAATAGAACGAGGACCTCTCGGTGATAACTTGGCCTCCACAATATGTTCTGATGAGTCACTAATGAGCTTTGATGAATATTGGCTGGGGCAGTGAAGATGATCAGATCATCCATGATCTCATTGACAAAAGATAGGCCATTTGGCCTACTTTCACTCCCACATTTTATGATCTTACTGTCTATGCACGGATTATAGAGAACAATCTTCACAACACTTTGGTTAAGGCAGTTTAGCAGGGTATCGGATAATGGGTCAGCCAGTCAAGGCTGAGGCAAAGAGGAATTTCTTCACTCAGAGTTATCAGTCTAAGGAATTCTGTACCCTGGGGGCTGTGGATGTTCAACCTTGAGGTCAATTAATTATTGAACACTAACAGAATCAAAAGATATGTGTGTTTGATGGGAAAGTGCAGCCATAAACTTGTACAAACACATTCTGATCAGGAATGGGCATTGGTCAGTTAAAAAAGTGTAGGTCTCTTAAAGGGGAAAGCAGAAGATGTTTTCTAATCAACCTTTTCAGCAATGTCGTGATAAATCTCTGGAACAGGTGAGACTTAAACCCAGACTCCTGGTTCAGAGGTGGGGACACTTGTATTGTGCCACAGGAGACCCTCTGGGTGTACGGGAATTTTTTTTAAAATTGAAATCAAATTCCCATCATCTGCCACGGCAGGATTCGAACCCAGGTCTCCAGAACATTCCAAGAGTCAGCCATTCAGCCCCTCCAGCCTGCTAGCCATTCAATAAAACCTGAGTTATGGAGTCATCGAGTGGTACAGCACGGAAACGGACCCTTCGGTCCAACTCGTCCATGCCAACCAGAAATCCTAAATTACTTTAGTCCCATTTGCCAGATGCCTTTTAAATGTTGTTATTGTACCAGCCTCTACCACTTCCGCTGGCAGCTCATTCCATACACGCACCACCCTCTGAGTGAAGAAAGTTGCCCCTTAGGTCCCTTTTTTAAATCTTTCCCCTCTCACCTTAATCATATGCTCTTTAGTCCTATCCTGGGAAAAAGACCTTGGCTATTCACTCTATCCATGCCCCTCATGATTTTTATAAACCTCTGTATGGTCATCCCTCAAACTCCATAGCTCCAGGGAAAATAGCCCCAGCCTATTCAACCTCTCCCTATAGCTCAAACCCTCCAACCCTGGCAACATCCTTGTAAATCTTTTCTGAATGCTTTCAAGTTTATCAACATCTTCCCTATAGCAGGGAGACCAGAATTGCACAAAATATTCCAGTAATGGCCTAATTACTGTCCTGTATAGCCACAACATGACCTCCCCAACTCCTATACTCAATGCATTGTTTGTGTTGTGAGTTTCACATTGCCATCAACTCCTGGTAACCTTTGATTCATCTGCCTAACAAGAATCTGTCCATCTATCCACCTTGAAAATATTTAAAGACCTGACCCCAACTCTGCCATCATCTAAGGCCGAGAGCTCCAAAGTCCCAAAACCCTCTGACGAAAAGAAATTTGCCTCAAGTCAGTCCTAAGAGGCCAATCCCTGACGTTCAACTAGTGCTGGCTCATTCTGAGCTCACCCATGATTGAAAGTCAAAGGAGACTAAGATCTTTTTGGCCTACTCTTGTTCCCATTATATTATTTATATAGCAGTGTTCTCCCAGCAGATGGTTCTTGTATATCAGATGCCTTAGAGCTCCAGTGGCACAGTGGTAGGGCCCCTGCCTCTGGATCAGGAGGCCTGGTTTGAAGTCCCACCTGCTCTAGAGGTGTTTAACAATGTCTCTGAACAGGTTGATCAGAAAATATCTATGAGAAACTATGGATGTTTAATGGAAGGGTACACATAAGATATAGGCCTCAGGAATTAGTGTACACCTCTAGAATTCTTGTGGTATAATGGTAGTGTCCCTACCTTTAGTCCAGAAGCCCCATGTTCAAGTCCCACCTGCTCAAGAGAATTTTTAAGAACACTTCTGAAGAGGTCAATTAAATGTATCTATACCACTAGAATGTATTTCTTAAAAAAAAAAAGTCCTGCAATTGAAATGATAACAAAGAATGTCATAGACCAACCTATTAAAGCTGGGGTGTTTTTAAATAAATGGAATTTAACAAGGTGCTGCACTGCTGGAATTTATTTTGATTGCCCTGTGCTCTTTTGAGGAGGCTTGAGCTGGGCATACAGATGCCTTTTTGAACAGGTTTTGGCAGTCTGAAGAAACAGAATTGCTTCACAGTGCCCTGTTTTACTGGGGTGGGATCAGATGACAGATGTGCAGACATCTGCTGAGTGCCTGCCAGCTGCGCAACACTGACGTAGTGCAGCTCCTCTAGGTTAGAAAGTAGAGTTAAAGGCAATGAGGAAAGGAAGAACAGACCCAGTGCTCAGTTTTTAACCAGAGCTGACTAATAGCACATTCCTGAGATGAGGAAACTCTGATCCAATGGCTATCAGCAAATTCCAAGGGATAATGCACTTCTTTCATAAGAAACTGATGGCATTGAGGCCAAATTATGCCTTGTCGGCAAACTACTTAGTTTAAAAAGGGAAAGGTAGGTGGATTGCCCTTCAAATATCAATCACACTCCCAACACTGCTCTCGTATTCCTTTTTAAGCCTAGATTTTGCAGTCACCTTGTTTCTAATGATCACTTTAACCCATGAATTGCTCGCACACTGTTGGAAAGAATGTTGCTTGGAAAATCTTACCTTCAAAGTATAGATTGTTTGTTTGAAAATTAGCACCGTTCCATTACCGTCATTAAATGCATATGGGAAAAATCAATCTCTTCCATTCCTGGAGTTCTCACAAATGTGAAAATCTGATTAAGTTGCCCAATTTTATCCAACTGTCTAATTCAGATTAAAAGAATTTGCACACCCTTTCTTTCAATTAACTAGGGAACAAATATTTATTGTAATCAAATTATTTCTAAACCAAGGGCAAATATTAGACAAATTGAATTGCTGTGTTGTAACTCTGTGTCTTAAAAAGCCCCTTTTTTTAAAGAAATCCCCTCTGTCTGCAAGTGGATGCATGAAGAGACCAGAAACAAATACTGTGGGTAGGGGAAGAAATCATTGAAGTACAGTTCTGGCATCGGTCAAGATCCCAGATGCCAATGAGTCATTTTCTTTTGACTCTTGGCTTATCTTTTGCTAATGACACAAGATTTGTCAATAACCTGGTTCTCGAACTTTCATTCACTGGTTGAGGATTGCCCTTTCAGTGCCTCTGAAGGCAGTTCCCCCCGGCTCACCTCCCCTTTTAACAGGGGATGTGCAGAGGGAACAACTTACTCAGAATTTTCTTTCTCTTCTCCACACAGATGTTTCTACTGCATTTTCCCCACATGAGGGGAACTAATCAAGTGGTACTAATCAAGTGGTTGTTATTGTACTGAGCCCTCCTGAGCACGCAACAACTCATTTCTATTGAAAAGCCAGTCACAAATCTGTCTCACAAACACACGAGATGTCACTTCTGTCTTGAATGTTCCTTCACTGCTCCAATAAGGCGACATCCTAGATACAACTCCTAGTGAAATCCAGTAACTTGTTGAAAAGCCGCAACATCATCTTACACAGTTCCCTTGGTTTAAAGCAGTATCTTTTCCTCCTGTTTAGTCCACAGTTCAAAAATAAAAGTCGTCTTTACAGTGTTAACGTGTAAGCTGGTGGGTAAAGAGGAAAAGATGAAGACAATTTGAGGGTAGTTTTATTAACCCAGCAAACAGGAGATTGGATGGGTATAATTATTAAACATTCTGCCTGTTTTGACTTGAACAGTTTCTTGCTGAGAGAATTCAGCTCAAATCTTAGCTAATATATCTATTTGAATGATTCTGATCTGGGTGCACAGTGTGGTCCTACAAAATGATGTCTGTTTGCAGTGAGCCAAAGATAAGAGGCTTTCACTGCTAGATTTGCAGAGAATAGAAATGTAATTGATTACAGTTCATGGAAAAGCCGTATAATTCATTGACCGCGGAGGCAATCAAACAACTGCCTTGTCGACCATCCAAGTGGTGGTACCTACGTGCTCTAATTAATCCTGAACTATTCTATCCCACATTAGGAACTGATCTACAAATTAACCAGAAGTCCATACCTCTAACCCAAAGAAACTGATTGAAATGTGTTTCAATTACTGTCACCATAATGGTGTTATATCTATGGAAAGTGTTTCTGTTTTAATTTTTTTCTAGCATTTTCCTGCAATAATTGTTTGCATCAGAATGCAAGGAGTTATGGTGTAGCCACCTTGTGAAATAGCATTCCTCCCCACACTTGCTGTTAATTTATGTACTACTCTCACACTCGTGCTCAGGATAAGTTTGATTTACTAACCCAGTTTATTGCTGTATAACCCTAAAGATTAGCCTGCTTGATCTGTAATCTAACATGCGAATCTCTCCTTGGTGTAATCATCAGGTGCTAAGTACAACCACAGAGACTGCATCTCTCATCCATGATCCGACAAAAGTGGTAAGCAGCATTTGTTAGGTACATTGGTCTGCATGCGGGTGTTTGCGTGTGCCCGCACGCTCAAATCATACCAATCTATCGGTAAACATAGTGCATGTTATTACCTTAGACCACGGCTTGTCTGTGTTGGCGCCACAGTTTACTGAAATGTCAAAAGAAAGTCATTGTTGACTTATCCTGGACTCGCAGACAAGTGAGTGTTCAAAAATCTGGGATTGTCTTCTCCCTGAGAGTTGCATAATTATTGAAGTCAGTCAACAGCCAATTTACTTCATTCCAAGTGACAGGAAGACGTTGCTGATTGACCCAATTAAACACCCTGTGTGTAGTGTTTCAAAAACAATTGAACTCTTCAGCCAAACTGTCCTGGTACAGGTACTTCCACGGCAGAAAACCAACCGCCCACCAAAAATTGCCCAACTATGTCCTGTCCATGAAAATGCCACAGATAAATCAAACTCATCCAGTTTTCATGCTATCCGTCTACTCTCGATTATCAGCGAAGAGATGATAATCATCATCAGCAGTGCTAGCAAGCAGCAGTTCCTCATCACTTGTCTGCTCCACCGTTCTTAGTTGGTTCTAGCACCCACAGCCCTCTGTGGTTGAAAATTCCAAAGGTTCACAACCCTCTGAATCAAAAGTATTCTCCTTATTACAACCCAAAGGGGCATCTCCCTCATTTTGAAGTTGTGCTTTGTGATTCTAGACTCCTTAGCCAGGAGAAACAACCCCCTGGTCTTGCTGTTGATCCCTTTAAGTATTTTGTACAGTTCAATGAGATCACCTCTTTTTCTTCGTAACTCTAGAGAATATCTCTTTGTAGGACGGTCCCGCCATCCTGGAAACTAGTTTGGTGAACTTGCATGCAATCTCTCTGTGCCAATAATATCTTCCTGAGATATAAGGAAACCAAAACTGCACACAGTGCTCTAGGTGCAATCTAACGAAGCTCTTATACAATTGGAGCAAGACTTCAGTATTCCTATACTCCAATCCTCTCATGATAAAGGCTGACATTCTGTTAGCCTTCCTAATAATAGGTTGCAATACTTGAATAACACAGTGTGGAGCTGGTTGTACACGGCAGGCCCGGCAGCATCCGAGGAGCAGGAACGTTGAAGTTTTGCGTCAGCACATTTCTGAACACTGCACC